TATGACCTTGCCTAAGCAGTGCAAGATCCCACTGTCTCTGGAAAGGACATTTCAGACCCACTTATACTCACCTTAGCTGTGCCACTTGTGGAGCAGGCCCTGCTATGCCAGTGTTCTGTCGAAAGCTCCAACTCCTTGAGTTCTCCAACTGCCTGACTTCTGTGGCAACTCAGATTAATAAGGTGCTGGATTAGTGTCATCCTAGTTCATTTTAATACTTTATTGCTGTCTATTATGTTTATAGGGAAATGCTGCGGGTGGCTCACGTGCAGTACAGCCTTCTCGGCCAAACCCCTTAGTTCTAACTAAACTGGAAGTCAGGCAGTTGGAGAACTCGAGGAGTTGGAGCTTTTAAAAGATCTGTTTTGGAATGAAGTTGCACTAGGGCTTGCCACAGACAGCCCCTGCCAGGCCTGGATCCACCTCCTGGACCAATGGGGCCTAAGACGAGAGTACAGCTTGTACCTCCCCTGCGAGGGCCATGAAGTTGTGGACAAATGCAGACAGAGAATGTAACAACTCTTCTTACAGTGGTAAAACCCAATCATAATTAATAGTGGACATCCCCTTTCTAAGGGAAACTGGGTTGCGCAGAGTAAGAATTTTCAGCATGGCTGCCTATCTGGGTGGAAGTGACAGTCTACAAACCTGCTCTATTGACTCTACACCTAGACAGAAGCCACCCAGGTCAGAGTCCTCTCACAGACACGAGATCAATGTCCAACACCATTCTTTACTGTAGGTTAAAGTAGTTTTTTACAAACTAGGAAAGAACTATAATCTCTACCATCTATTTCATCCCCATTGAGGAGAATAACCCTCTTGTCTTGCTGACAATTCTCACCACCATTGATAGTGATGAGAAATCCTAAATGCTATGGTTGTCACAGAAACAGGAGGTAGAAGGAAATCTTCCAATGGAGATACTTGTTCTGGTGACAATGAAGGCACCTGTTCAGGTTTAATTAGGCAGTACTGGCCATTGTTCTACCATGAGATCACCCTCGAATAAGATGTGTTAAGCAATAAAAAGCTGACTGGGGTTTTAAATAATTCTCTAGATATAGATATATATCTATAGAGATAGAGATATATATCTATAGATAGAGATATAGATATATATCTCTATCTCTATATATATATAATGACTCATCTCTTCAGGGAAGCCTATCCCACTTCAAACTAACCACTGAACCATGACGTTCTCAAACAATTCATCCCCACACAGCTACCTCCTCATGTATCACTTCCCCCTCCCTATTAGATTGTAAGCTCTCACGGGCAGGCCCCTCTTTACCATCTTATATATATATGTATTATTTATGAAAAACATATTCAAAATGGAAAATCATGGGCTAAGCTGACCTGATTGACCCTAAATCAGGACACCACCGAGATATTAAACTGACTGTCTCATGCCACATAGAACCAACACCTGACACAGTTAACTGATCAAATCTTTTTTCTCCAAAAATCACAAAAACTTCACAGCCTGCCTATGAGCTTGTGAGAAGTGTAACTTAACGACTATCTACAAGTCTATTTCTTTACTTCCAGATAACAGATCATGTGAAGAAATGTGCTGTTGGACAGGATGCAATAAATTCAAACAGCTTCATTAGAATGCTTCATGCGAGATCACTTGATGCCATCAATAATAGGGATAGCCTTTCTGCTCAGGGCAAAAGCAGCCTATAAACTTGCTGACGTTACTGGTAAGCTTGGATATGTCAAATTATAAGCAGCTCTCTACAATGTCTAAGGCATTCAGACAGAATACAAAACCCAACACAAGACCCTATATCGTGTGTCATATGTTATTGGGGCAAGAAAACTTAAAACCCAATTGAAGTTGTTTCACACTATTTTATCTCTTTATAGTCATGTACCTGCTGGGGCTCTGATTTGTGACTGACTTGGGCTTAAAATGTCATTTTCTCTCAGTGGTAAAGTTGTTTCCTATTGCAGAGTTCTGTGCTGGCAGAGCTAACAGACGCACCCCTCATTATAAGTGTTCCTCAAACAGCAGAGGAAGAGAGTCTAATCAGGTCTGTTACCGAGTGCTGACCCTTAGGGGGACTGCAAAGTTCTATTTGGACACCAAGTGCAACTGCTGCAACAGGAAGGTAGAGGTAAGGCTGGGTTCACACCTGGGCGTTCGTAATATGTGCGTTTGACGCGCGTTTTTACCGCGATTTGCGGTCCACGAAACGCACGTTTTTATGAAATCTATCAGGCTGGGTCTAATGGATACGCCCCAAAGAAGCTCCAGTACTATTGTGGGCGTAGGGCGTTTTTCAGCGCGTCATAAAGCGCTGAAACACGCCCAGGTGGGAACCATGCCCATAGCATTTAATAGGATTTCCCTTGCTGAGCGTTTTTCAGCGCTTCGATCTGCGCTGAAAAACGCCCAGGTGTGAACCCAGCCTTAGACTATGGCAAAGGAGGTGGGCACTGCAATGTCTATCGATATGTATTGTATATCTATTTCTGTGACTTGAATTGGGTTTTAAGCTACTTTTCAGCCAGAGCATTAGAAATAGCACTCCTGACAAAATACAAACTAAGGGTAATGTTAATGCTACAATATACAAAGACATTTTTAGAACACTGTGCACTTCCAACCTTGAGGTAAGTTTGGGGAAGGCCCATTTATGATGCCCTTGTGTGCAAAGTTGGCTCTACAAATACGTGGTTTTATGAGTTTGGTGTGGAGGAACTCTTGTGGCCTTCGCAGAGCCCTGACCTCAACCCTACTGAACACCTTGGGGATGAAGCGAATGCAAGCCAGATCCTCTCATGCAACATCAGTACCTAACCTCACAAATTCCCACAGACGCACTTCAAAATCTAGCGGAAAGCCTTACCATAAAGGTGGAGGCTGTTATAGCAGCAAAGGGGGGCCTCCTCCATATTTGTGCCTACGGATTTGGGATGGGATGTCCAACAAGTTCATATAGGAGTCATAGTCAGGTATTCACAAACCTTTGTTAAAACTGGTTGGAGCAAAGAGAAACTTGCCCAAACACTAAATGCTTAACTAGGCAAGATTCTGAGAGTCGGGTCCTCCAAAAACTGTAAGTAACTGAGCTGTTTGAGATACAATTGCTCATTGATGGTCTCAACCCCATTTCCACCTATGCTCTACAGCATTGGTTCTCAACTGGCTGTAGAGAATAGTTGGGTCGCTGCATGGAAGGCATGCAGCGACCCAAGTTCAGTGGGTCGCCACATGCCTTCCATTTTTCTAGGTGAGAGGCTCCTCAGCCTCCACCTAGCGCAGTACTGTTAGTTCTCATGTCAAGCAGCCATTCAAAATATGCTGCCCGGTACCGAGTGTCAGTTTGAGGTGGGGTGGGATATGGCTACGGCCACAAGGAAGCTCCATCCATACGTGCATTGCTTACAGCTCCTTTACGTGTCCTATAGAGGTACCTGGACCGGAGTGATGTCAGTCTTTGCTCCCGGCACTTCTACAGGGCACGCAAGGGAGCAGTACAAGCAATGCACATATGGATGGAGCTCCACATATGGATGCAGCCCACACTGGACTCCAGGCTGAGTATCCACTCCAGTTCTCATAAGATAGGAGACTGGGTAGATCTTAAAAAAAGAAAACAATTTAATGTTTTTTGGAGTGTGTATGTGTGTGTGAGAATGCCTGAGAGTGTGTCAGATTGTTTCCGTGGTTGAGTGTCTGTCAATGTTTTTGAGGGCCCGTTCACACTAGTAAAAGTGCGTTAATCGTACAGTCCCTTGTGATTAAGGAGAACTATGGGGTTAAGTCTTTTCCCCATAGTTCTCCTTAGGGTAACAGGAGGACACAAACTAGCGTCCTCCCCCGTCATCCTAGGCTCAGTATACAGCGAGCCGCAGCTCGCTGTATACTGAGACGCCACAATTGTGCCCGGATCCGCCCAGCTGCGTGACTGACAGCTGGCTCTGCCTATCTAGAGGCAGAGCCAGGTGTACCCGCCCCCTCCCCCGTCCGTTGCGCCAGTCAGCGCTGGCGGATCGGAGCGGGGAGGGGGGAATACAGCCCCTCCCCAGTCACGGCAGAGAGCCGTGACAGGATCGAGAGGTGAGCGAATGCCGGTATGTGTTCGCTCACCTCCCGATCTACTGAGCCGACCTGTGACAGTCTCCGATCTACTGAGCCGACCTGTGACAGTCTCATTGTCACAGGTCGGCTAGAACTATAAGGTGAGTGAAAAGCACTCACCTCATAGTTCTCCTTTAAGGCACTGTTCCATGCAATCACACCTACCACGCATTCTGGTGTTGGCGGTGTATTGCATTGTCATTCATTTCAGTGGCACCACAAATGCACCTACCACCTCGATCACCCACATCGGAGCGCGCAGTAACACAATGCCGTACGTTCCATTGCAATGTGTCTTGGGTCACGACTTAATGACCAAGGACAAATGTGGGTCCTGAGGTTACACAGGTAGAGAACCACTGCTCTACACACTGGGCTCTGTCTTATCCCTGGATGACTCAACAAACCCAACTAGGTTAGGTAAAAGTACCAATAGTACAATAACCCGGGTGTAATAGTTGGTGTAGTTTGCAGGGTGATTTTAAGGGAATATGCAAACTGGTTATAATCACGAAAAATGCTGTGGATCGGTGTTCACGGTGAACTGCAGCTCTATTCCATCTCTTAATCTTGTAAACTAAAACCCTATGACGAAGTGTGGGAAAGATTTATACCAAATAAAGGGGCCTGAATCTTTATGTTCCTTCATAACAGTTGGGGTACTGCAATAGGTAAAAGCACAAATTCCAACTAGAACATCCATTTGATTATTTTTTTTTTTTTAACCACCAAATGAAAGGACATTTTGTTACACTCCAACATGGAATATGTATGAAGCTGAGAACCTAAGACGAAGCTGAACATGCCATGAGGACACTATTGAAAGCATGCCTCACTCCCTGCAGCAGTTCAATTTTGAACATTTTAAATGCTTTTTTTTATTTTTCATCTGCCCTACCAATGGTGCAGTGCTCTCCATTCCAGCCGGGGCTGCATTCGCATTTCCCGTCTCGGCACGTTCCATGCTCATTGCATCGGGGGTGGCAGGCCCTCTGATCACAAGCGGTTCCCATCCAACCCTCATCGCAGCGACAGTTGCCTCCGATACACATGCCGTGACCTCCGCAATCCGCTGCACAGATTTCTGTGGGAGAGAAGACACAATAGAGGAGTTGAAAGAATGCAAATACAACAAGAATATAATAAATAAAATAGCTCACAACAGAGTGATTGAGGGTTTTATTAATCTCTTTGTCCCCAATGAAAAGATTTCCCCGCACATCCTGTCCTGGCAACGCAACAGGAAGTGAATATATCTCCAACAGCAAAAAATCCTTCACAGGTTCTAACCCTTCCCCACTCCATTCAAAAAATACAAAATAGTTTGCCTTGTCTTACAATTTAACAAAATGATAGGTAAACCAGCCCATTTTATTCCATCTTCTGGAAGAAAACACATTGATGGGCTACAGTGAAAGGATTATTGATTCACCATAGAAAATGGCCGTCTCAATGGAGCTGGAAATGTTTTTGTTTTGTTCTGAATTTCAGTTTTAAGATACAATGGACATTTTGCATAAAATATAAACATAGGGTCAAGGTTAGGGTATGATTCTAAAAAAAATTGAACGTGTTTCCAGGACAACACCCAGACACCAACACATAATTTTGGCACCGTGTGTCTGCACAGGCCCAAACGTGCTGATGGTCAAGCTGTCCTAGAACTAATTTTTGAAGGACGTCTAACCTCCACAGTCCAGCAGATTGTTCTCCAATGCAATGTAATGTCCATGTCTTGGACTATGTGATCTATTCCGATGTGGGCTAAAAGTTATAGTGATCTGATTAGCTTTGGGGCGATTACAAAGAGTGACATGCAGGAACGGATTGTACATTATCTAGAAATGTGTGAAGTGGTAGCACAGTCCTTAGCATTTCATGCAAAACCAGCGGAAACAGGAGCGGACAAGCCATTTGTGCAGACCGTGCAGCTGCACAAGGGCCCATTTACATTAGACGTTGACCAGGCAGGTGCTGGGACCCCTTCCCATTGTCAGGTAAAACTAATCATTGCTCACTTCTAGGGCAGGAGATAAGCGATGGGAACTTTTTATATTGCCTAACTGTTCTCCCGGTTTAATAATATCCAGTTGTTGTCAGGCAGCGAAAGGCTCCAAAATTGCCCTGATAGACTGGAACCGAATATATACAATACTTCTCCCACGTCCTCTAGACACCATTTGGACTGAAAGTGAAGCGGGCGTTGTTGTTGGACCATAGTTTTACATTATGGATTCTGAGTAACTGAAGGATATTGCAAAGGTTTACTTTTATCTCTGCATCAATACACAATAACTTATTTGTATTTAGGCATTAGCTGAATGGGGTGACCAAAAACTGGTCTTGTACAGGGGCCATTTGGTATTACCGCCACTGCTGAGAAAGACGGTGGGATGTTTCACACATGGGCAGGATTTATTTCAGCGAAGCTGTAAAGTGTTGCTGATAGGAAGAGAGTATTCAAGACACTGTATTAATGTGTCAGTAGCAGCCAAAAGAATGAGAACTCTGGGTCCTGGGTAGTAAGATCATCGTTCAAAACAATTTTCAAAGACAAATTTGTGATAGGTAGATGATAGATAGATAGATAGATAGATAGATAGATAGATCTGACTATATGGCCAAAGGTTTGTGGACACCTGAGCATTCTTTATTGCAAGAAAACGATGAACACTCCTAAATTATTGAGTTCTGCTGTTCTCAGGAACCAGCACCAGTATCAAGACATTTTAGACAATTGCAGACTTCCAACCTTGTGGAAATAGACTGGGGAAAGCTATTTTCTGTTCCAACATGACTGCAATCCCTGTGCACAGCCAGCTGCATAATTATATCAGTCTAGTGTGGAGGAACTCAAGAAGCCTGTCTAGAGCCCTAAGCTCAACCCTACAGAACATTGGTAGCCTGAGATGTTGCCCCATTCTCAACAGCCAGGACTCATTTATTGAACTTGCTCAATCCACTTGACTTACACAGGTACCAACCCCAACCAATGGCCAGCAACCAACCGACCATTGTTTGGTTACCACAGTTCCCCCGTACTTACACGTATTTATTATTGCACCCGCTTCACTCTGGGACTTCCTCAATACAGTCCTCAGTACCTTTGGGGCAAAATAAAAGGCTGCCTGCAAGCCAGGTCTTCTCATCCAGCATCAGTACTGGATCTCACAAATGTTCTATTGGCTTAATTGGCACACTTTCCTACAGTCACAATCTCAAGGAAAGCCTTCCCAGAAGAGTGGCAAGTGTTGAAGACACACAGGGGACCAATGTCAAATTAAAGCCCATGGTACAGGAATGGGTTGTGCACCAAGCTCATATTGGTGCCATGGGGTTAGGTGCCTACAAAGGTTTGACCATATAGATACATAAAGAAAAAAAAAGGCATTTCTTTATAATGTAACTCAAGAGGTACAAGATATATAAAGGAAATAGGAGCACTGTATTCTCTTGAAATCAAGTACAAGAAATTGTCTGGTTATTATTAAAGCAATATCAAAGAAAAAGCAATTTTTCATATAAAAGAGAGTGAAATTGACTGTTGTGGTCAGAACTCAGGATGCCAGCAGTGGGTTACAATTGTCCAGATGGAAAAGGAGAGTGAAAGTTTTATTTACAAATCCCTAATCAATAACACCACAGAGGATTACTCAAAAAAAACACATATATTATGTAGCAAACGCAGTTGATACAGACGATCGATCAGAAGATCCTCTTTCTCCAAAACAAGTTTGGTGGGCAACACATGGGGAGTTTCCACATCAATACTTCTCCATACGTATTGTAAGAGAGAAAGAATTCCTGTAGCTCATAGCACTAATCCTCTCAGACAATAAGAATCTTATAAGACGATTACAAAGGAGAGGGAGAGAAAGGGAGAGTGAAGACGGGACTGGAATTGTGAAGGTCTCCCTTGATTGATTTGCCTGTTTATTGCCTAATTCTGTCTCACCGAAAAAGCTTTTGTGCCAGGCAAATCCGAAAAAAGGAGAGTCGGGAGGGGCGGGCAGCGAAATCTCCTCCGCTGAATGTTACAGAAGTCATATTTAATTAAAAACTGGTTAAGTGTGAAAACAATGTGGGGAGAAATCAGTGATAATGCAGTTGAGAGCTGCAAAGTCTGTTTTGTAGCTTGTTAACCTGCCATCCTGACTGAATTTCATTAATTTGTGGTTTTTTATTTTTATTTTAAATAGACCCTATGTTCCCAAGAGAGAATATTTTTGCTCATCTCAAAAGCATGTGCGTTCTGACAAATCTATATTTATAAGCACAAACTGAAATGCAAGAGGACCTGTCTAGAGTTAAGGCAAGGTAAGTAGTATATTCTAAAACAAGGAACAGCTGCTTGATACCCATCAGCAGCTGGTTTATTTGGGCATGACCTACAAACCCAGCTATAAATTGTAATAGAAAAACAGATACATGTTTGCTAGGTGAAAGCCAGACTGGGAGATCATAAGTGTAATTGATTGCATTTGACATTTGCATGCATGTGAAAGAAACCCTTGTCAGGTTGTATTGCATTTGTGAAGCCATTTTAGAGATGTTCCCTAAACATGTGTGGTCACATGGACAGGACGCAGGGATAGTGTGTTGGTGACACAGTAGGGAAGGGTTAGGCCTTCTCTCAAGTTTTACTGCTATCTAAATACAGGTTAAAGGAGAACTATGGGGTTAAGTCTTTTCCCCATAGTTCTCCTTAGGGTAACGGGAGGACACAAACTAGCGTCCTCCCGTCACCCCAGGCTCAGTATACCGCGAGCAGTAGCTTGCGGTATACTGAGACGTCGCATTATACCGCGAGCTGCTGCTCGCGGTATAATGAGATGCCGCAGCTGAAGCGGATCCCGACAATTGTGCTGGGATCCGCCCAACTGCGTGACTGACAGCTGGCTCTATCTAGAGGCAGAGCCAGCTGTACCCGCCCCCTCCCCGTCCGATCCACCAGTCAGCGCTGGAGGATCAGAGGGGGAAATTCAGCCCCACCCATGTCACGGCAGAGAGCAATGACAGGATCGAGAGGCGAGTGAATGCCGGTTTGTGTTCGCTCACCTCCCGATCTACTGAGCAGACCTGTGACAGTCTCATTGTCAGAGGTCGGCTAGTACTATGAGGTGAGTGAAAAGCACTCACCTCATAGTTCTCCTTTAAAGGAGATTGGCCCTCTGATCCAAGCTATACACAAAACAGAGGCCTCAACTTGTAGCCCCATTATCCATAAACAGCACCATTTTGGCTGTTAAGTCACTCTCATTGCTTTTGTTGCGGGAGAGGGCAGAAACAGATGAAGGGTGAAGGTGGTTCTAGGCAAGGTAGAAGTTTCCCTCCCACCTATCCCTTTTACTGAGTTTAATAAAGATTGCAAAGAAGCTGCCCCATCTGCATCGTCTACACTGGCATGGCCCTTCGACACCAAATGCCTGCAAGTGACAGAAAAGTGACATATAGGTGCATAGTTTCCACCAATTGTGATATTTCTATGGTTTACTGCAGGAGCATAAGGTTGTACCTTGGCTCCCCGGGGTACACAAGGTCCCTAGACTCCTTCCTTGGTTGTCTTAATAATAAACCACCTCTGGGTGGTGGTGGATCGGTGCACAGTAAAAGGATTACTCAACATTAAAACTAGCAAGTTACCTGTGGTGCCTGTTATTCAATAAACGCTGCAAGCCCGGAAAGGGTATGTTTTATGGTTGGTGTTAAGATCTGGCCACACACATTGTGTAAAGATAAGGCCAAGGTATTAACTATGCCATTTCTTTGGTTTACTGCAGGAACACAAGGTTGTGGCTTGTCTCCCCAGAGATACACATGGTCACTAGACTCTTTCCTTAGTTGCCTTGCTGATAAACCATCAGCATTAGGTTGTAGCTGGGCTCGCCCCCGGGGATACCTAAACAAATGATTATCCGCTCCATAGTGCTCTACCCCAAAATCCTCAATAAACACCCTATTGACAGCTGCAGAGATAGAGAGAAGCTATATAAACTTCTCCCACATTATATTATATATTACATAGGATACACAAGGTCTCTAGACTCCTTCCTTGGTTGTCTTAAAGGAGAACTATGAGGTGAG